CAGTTGACTTGCGCCACTTAATCCATGCGCCAGTAAAGTAGAATGGAGGTCTACTTTTTGGGGCCAGATTATCATGTGCACCAGTTTGTTAAAAAAAATAAAAACGTTTTCACTAGTCGTTTTCAAAAAAATAATGAAAATGTCAAATAAATCTGATTATTTCATTCATTATAAAATAGACCCATCAGACAACGTCATTTTTTGAATGAATTTTGTTTAAATAAGTGATTATTTCACAAGACCTTATTTATCAGCGATTAAATTTTTGTTTACCTTTTTTGACAGAATTTTGATAGAAATATTCTGACATTTTATAATAAATAGAACTCTTTGGATAGGATTGACGCCAACAATTCAATCCTAATTAATCAGGAAATAATCTAGCCGTATACCACTCGACCTATAAATTTAAATGGATTAAACTATCCAAATATTTTTTGCATAATTTTGCTTTTTGGCAAATAGTTTCGTGCAGGGGCGGATGGGCTCAGGCGGGACACCGGGACGATTCCCGGTGGGCCGGAGAGCCAAGTGGGCCGGTTAAGGAAAAAAAAATACGATAAACAATACGCCACAACTTGATAGAAAAAAAATCACTTAAGGCGTAATGCGACAACACTCTGCCAATTCAACAGAAAGCAGTCAACGTTTTTTGTCGTTTTCACAAGGCGTTGAGCTGCCATCTAATATTGAAAAATATTTTCATTAAAATTTAGACTTTTTCTGTAAATTTATACTTTCTCTGTAAACTTACACTTTTTCCGTTCAATCAGACATTACCGAGGACACTACCAAACTTACCTGTAATAACCCGCTAAGTTCGAAATTTTTGTCAGACATAATGAAAGTTACCAATAATAACCCGGTTAGTTTTTGTTAGTTTGCAATTGTAATCAGACTAGGGATTGCAAATTTACCGAATTTTAATTTACCGATAATTCGGTAAATTATTTAAAAAATTACCGATTTACCGGTATTTACCGGTTTTTTCCGATATCAAAAAAAATAACAAAGAAATAGGCCACAAAATAGATAAACTAACTTTAATTCTTATTAAATAATAACAACAGAAAAGTAAAACTCCAGGTGAACTTTAAAAAAACCTTATATACCTAACTTAAAGTCTAATATCAGGCCCTAAAACATTCGAAATAGTAATTTAAATAAAAAAAATATCTATCGTTTCTTACTTTTCCAACGACTCTTTCGATTTTTTTTGTTTAATAAAAAGGCCCTTTCAACTCATTTGTTACTTCTTGAAGCATTTTATTAGAATATTCCAAAACAATTTTTCTTATGGTATTTGGTGATTTTGGTATATCTCTATAACCTTATAGGTACTTTTAATAATTTTCTTAAATCTTCTGTAGTGCAGCACTTATTAAATGGCAAACCGTCCAGTGCAGTCAAACGTGCAATTACTGCTGGAAATGAATCGTCTACAGTCGGTTTAAAATACGACGTAATTGTAGATATTCCTTTGTAAGACTGATTGTTGCGTTTTCCAGAAATGCCAGATAAAGGTAGGTATAGATTTTCCTCTTTTTAACACGTTTATTTCATGCTGACTCTTTAAATGACTGCGTAAACCACTAGTGTTTCCTCCAGCAGCTTTAATTTGTCTAGAACAAAGTTTACACACACCCCCATCCTTAGTTTTATTATAATGGTGCCAAACAGAAGTTGTATCCATTGTTTGCTATTGGCAACAACTGCAAGGAAAAGGAAAAGAAGAAACGCGTTCAATCTTTGTTTACGATCACGACTCATCTCGTCCGGCGTCCACGCTGCCCTGCATCATAGAAACAACGGATCCGCGCTGTTGTCAGCTTGGCATTTTTTACCGAAATTACCGGTAAAAGATGTCGATTTCTTCGTCGGTAATTTAAAGAACTTTTAAGGCGGTAAATCGGTAAACCGGTAAATCGGTAAACCGGTAGTGCAATCCCTAAATCAGACATTACCGATAATAACCCGGTTAGTTTGCAATTTCAATAAGATATTTTCAAACTTACTAATACTAACCCGGTTAGTTTGCAATTGTAATCAAACATTAAAACTTACTGATAATAATCCGGGTTAGTTTGCACTTTCAATCAGAAATTACCAAACTTACCGATAATAACCCGGTTAGTTTGGGTTAGTTTTCAATTTTAATCAGACATTTTTAGACTTACCGATGTTCCTGGTTAGTTTGGGGTTTAGTTTGCTATTTCAATCAGACATTACCAAGAATAACCCGGTTAGTTTGGACATGCTTCAAAATTATTCATTTTCGAAAGAAGTTATTCAAAGTCAATACCTATGTTCCAAATGGTTGATTTTTGAAATGAAAGCATTCAGAAAAAAAAATCGCAATTTTTGTTTTCGAAAAATAAACATAGACCTGTAATGTCCGAATAAAATTGCGAACTAACCCAAATTGCGGTACTTAAATTTTGGTAATGTCTGATTAAACAGAAAAAGTTTAAACTAGAACATGAAAATATTTTACAATACCTATCAGCATGGCTTTACGCTTTCGTATTTTTGAGTAATATAAGGAGGTTTTTTTTTTTTCTAAAAAAGGAGACTATTTAATACCCTATCCAGTGTTATTCACCTCCTGTGAGCGCGCGGGGCCGCTTGAGCAAAAACCGTCCCGGGCCGATTGAAAGTTGCCCATTCGCCCCTGGTTTCGTGCACAATAACTTTTAAATAAAAGCCCTCGACCGCTTCGCGCTCTCGGGCTTTTATTAAGTTATTGTGCATTCAACTATTTTCCAAGCAAAATCATGCTCAAAATATGTTGGATAGTTTAATCGATTAAATTTAAAGCTCTTGTGATATAATATATGAAAAATGGAGCATATTATAAAGTTGTTGGAAGTTTATGGAGAGCATTCCTGTTTGTGGAATCACAAGCTTTTGTGCTACAAAGATAGGAATACCTAAACGGGATGATGAAATAAGCATACCTACCTAAGTGTTGAGGTAATGTCGGAGTTCGGGTTCGTGAGTGGTTTTGATATTACCTACCACTGCTAAAAGTAAAATAAGAAGCAGTAGAAATGCTTCATGGTTCTCTGCTAACTCAGACAGTAAATTATTTGATGCTTCAAGAGCTTTTTCTGCGTGAAATCCATTTTCGTTTGTGTTTACGTCCCTTCTTTTCTTCTTTCTTTTTCGTATCCCTTGCAATAATTTTTAGTAACAAAATATCTACAACATTAAAACCTGCTTGGACCTCTTCAGTTGACGCCATTTTTCTACTGCGCCAGTTAGAAGTTTCTGATATCAAATGGAAGCAAATACTGGCGCCACTATTATTACGCCACCAAACTGGCATGTGTACTGGCGCCAATAAACTTTGCATGTGGAAACGCCGCTTTATTTAAACAAAATTCATTCAAAAAATGACGTTGTCTGATGGGTCTATTTTATAATGAATGAAATAATCGCCGATAAAAAATGGAAATGTTCTCCTGAATGAGAATATTTCGTTTAAATTTCAGTCGAAAACTCTCAAAAGAATATTTCCGAGAACTTTTGAGAATATTTCCAAGAACTTAGCAGAATAATTTTATAAAAATGCGAGAATATTGCAAATACAAAGTCTCAGTGACGTCATTTCAATTTATGTGGATGACGTAGCCCAGTCCAACTGTCTTTACGGAAATGCTGATACAATTTACCCAATCACCCTGATGTACCATCGTCACCAAAAATATCTGGGACACAAATAATGCATAATAATCTCCTGGACTAATTCTACTGTCATTCATTCCAATGCATTAACCCTTTTCACGTGGCTCCGGTTTAACAAACCGCAACATACCGCTCAAATTCGAGTGGTATCGGTTACTTCATTTTGTAACCGGGTTAGAAAACGGTATGTCATACTTGACATACCGCTACTAACCGTTTTGTAACCCGGTTAGTTTAAACTGGACCACGTGAAAAGGACTATTCAATTCATAGTTTGACAAATATTTGACAATAAAATTCATATAATAGGACAAGAGCTAATGTGATGCTGTCCCAGTTACTTTTGGTGACGATGGTACCTACAGTTTGTCTTTTTTAGATAATTTTCATTGAAAAAAGATAAAAAATAAAGTGCTGAGAGATTGGGTTAATTGGATCAGCATTTCCTTTGAAGCCTTATTCAACTGTCCCATAAGTGTTTTTCTTGGTTTATAGTCTATAGTCAGTACACTGTACACTACAATAATATATAAATAAAGCTTACTAAGATTTGTCTGATTTAGCTATAAATTTAAAAAAAAAAAACAATATCGGAAAGTTTCCGAGAATGTTCGAGGCTTTTGAATGTCTCGGAAATTTTACATCACTACCTATTGGTAACGCATTTGAAATGGGTGCACATGCAATATTATGAATATCAGTGTGCACAGAATAGTCAGTAGGAATAAGTTGTTATTAGGTCTGTTTCTGCAGAAATCACAAACCAGTCAGAATGAATTTCATTGGTTGAAACTAGTTTCCTGACTTTTCAACCAATGAAATTCGCTCTGATTGGTTTGTGATTTCCGCAGAAACAGACCTATTATTTATTGTGAATATATAATATTAATATATTAGGTCTGTTTCTGCAGAAATCACAAACCAGTCAGAGTGTATTTCATTGGTTGAAACTAGTTTTCTGACTGTTTTCAACCAATGAAATTCGCTCTGACTGGTTTGTGATTTCTGCAGAAACAGACCTATTATTTATTGTGAATATATAATATTAATATATTAGGTCTGTTTCTGCAGAAATCACAAACCAGTCAGAGTGTATTTCATTGGTTGAAACTAGTTTTCTGACCGTTTTCAACCAATGAAATTTGCTCTGACTGGTTAGTGATTTCTGCAGAAACAGACCTATTGTTATACCACTACTGATAATAAATAAATAAATATTTAAATAAATAAATAAATAGTTCCTCTGGCATATTTTTATTTTAAGTTTTAAGATGTAAACCCTAATATAGGAAAATCAAAATACTATTCCTTACTTGCTGTTTCGACTCAGAGTTCTGTTCATCCTTCTTTCTATATCCATAATCCTGAAAATACTGCAAAGAATTTCGGACTTGTGCCAAAAACTCTACAGCATCATTTAGCTTTTGGTGGCAATTAATGCAAAGAAACGGATGAAAGTCTTCCGTTTTCAACTACAAAATTTGTTTATTAGTTTCAAAATAAACTGTGTAGACGTGGTTGACCTTTCTAACCTCAAAATTGAAAGTTGCCGTAAAAACTTCCAGAACTCCCTGGTTTTCGATTAAATCTTCTGTACCCAAACAGGCAAAGCATTGGTTTTCGAATTCTTCGTTTTTATCCAAGAATTGAGTAGAAAATTCCATTTTTGAAATAATAAATAATAAATAATTAATAAATAAAAATAAAATACAAGTGGCGCTATCGCCTATCGCCGCTACCACAGGCGGGGCACCGCGGCGAATTTGGCAACAAGGCAACTACAATTTCTTTTTTTTTTTTTTGGAAAAGTTAATTTACGAATTGTAGCCTTGTAGAGCTTTAAGCTTGTAGCAGCCCTTAAATATGGCAACGTAGCTGATAGTCTGTTTTTTTTTAAAGATAATTCCCCAAGTCAAAAATTTAGTAACTTTGTTGGCAACACAAGCCTTTTCTACATATAAAATTTGAAAGCATTGACAGTTTTACATTGTATTGCCAACATAATGTCATTTTGACTTTTATCTTTAAAAAAAAAACAGATTTTAGTATGTCGATACCGCGAGTGACGTCATCGTAGATGCTTGAGCTGTTTTATGGCATAGGTACATACACTTTTTTAACACTGGTTCAAAACAGGTTAGAAACAGTAGCTTTGCAGCACATCAAGAAACCGTACAATGTACCGTCACGATTCTGCACAAAGCCAAAAATTGGAAAATTTGTGCGTAGAACAGGAAATTCGTATACAAAATGGTTTCAAAACCGCTCATGGGACGGTCTTTGAACGTGTTGGAACAAACCTACTATATTCTCGCGATGAACCGATGACGTCAAATCGAACCTGGTGGTATTCCGTTCACACTATCTAGTAGAAAATGAATCGACTTTGTCGCTACAGGGATTCTGTTCAAGGGTTGCGATGGAACAAAGCTACTTTTCGCGTCAAATCGATCGCTCCGCTTCGATGTGGCAATAACCCTTTTCACGTGGCTCCGGTTTAACAAACCGCAACATACCGCTCAAATTCGGGTGGTAGGTATCCATCACGTCACTTTGTAACCGGGTTAGAAAACGGTATGTCATTTCTCTAACCGTTTTGTAACCCGGTTAGTTAAACAGGAGCCACGTGAAAAGAACTGGGGTTTTGCCTGCATATGTAAAATTACTGAACCGAATCGTTTTGCTCGAAAAAGTCGCTAGCGACATCGCCATAATTCGATCGCATTTTAGCATGAACGGAATGCGGCCCCTGGGGCCTTATTTTGTAAGGAACGAACCGTTCGATTCGGTAGAATTTCTTCGATTGTGACGTCATTTTCGGTTTGGATTTGGTTTGGTAGCGCGAAAACCAAACCAAAAATGACGTCACAATCGAAGAAATTCTACCGAATCGAACCGTTCCTTCTCACAGAATAAGGGTGGATTTTCATGCATCCGTTTGTCCGACGAAAGATGTCCGTTTAACATTCTATTCTGACATAATCGTATAAAAATATGTCAAAATAAAAGATTTAACGGACATATTTCGTCGGACAAACGGATGCATGAAAATCCACCCTAAAGCCTAGTACTCATAACTGCGAAATTCGCAATTTTTTGACATTGCTTCGACAATTTGACGTTTGATACACGCATAAACCGTCAAATTGTCAACGCAATGTCAAAAAAATGCGAATTTCGCAGTTATGAGTACTAGGCCTAAGGCCCCTGGTTCAAACCGTTTCGGGAATCGGGACACAACGAAATCCACGTTTTAAAACCATTTTCTCCGGTCGAGAAGTTATGACGTCATGTGACACTGTTCTAAACCGGTTTTGAAAAATGTTTCAAAACATTTGAGACGCGAGAAAATACCTTACACAAACGCTCTCGTGAGAAACTCAATGCATCATATTGAACGTAGTTCGCTGGAAACATGGACGCAGCTTCTAGCCAGCGTTCAAACTCATGACGTCACAAGACGAACTGTGGTTCGTTATTGGATGAACTATTGATGAACCAAAGTCCGTCGATTTTAATCTGATAATCGAAAGGAATGTGAGCTGGTGGCACATTAAAAAGCCAATGGTCACCTGACGTCATCGTCATACCTGTTTTTTCCATATACTTCACCCCCTAGCTCCTCATATGGAAAGTGTCAGATAAAAATCGACGAAGAATACACTCGTGGCGGAAATTCGGTTTTTGTATTTCCATCTGCAATGATGGGTGTTTTTCAGATTTGACCAGTGGATCTACCAGTTTTGACCGGTCTGCACCTGGGTCGTTTCAAAATTAAGCCTATAATAGGTACTCATAACTGCGAGATTCGCTTTTTTTTGACATTGCTTCGACAATTTGACGTTTGATAGACGCATAAAACATCAAATTTACCAAGCAATGTCAAAAAAGTGCGAACTTCGCAGCTATGAGTACTAGGCTTCAAACGGATAACAACCCGCTTCCACCGGTTTTAGTTAGAATTTCGGTAAAATATGGGAATTGTGACATATATGCTATGTTCCAGTTATATGCCTCATTCTCACTTGTGCGAAATTTGCTCTTTTTTGGCATTGGGTACATTAGGCGGTCCCAGCGGCTAAGCTAAGCCACTGGTGTTGCCAACATAGGCCGAGTTCGTTTTTGTCCTCTTTTTCGTCGATTTGCTCCGAAATTTTGACAGGCACGTGATTTGTAAATTAAAACTGTCTTATCCAATCACGTGCCTGTCAAAATTTCGGAGCAAATTGACGAAAAAGATGACAAAAACGAACTCGGCCATAGTTCCTAAATTTTTGACTTGGGGAATTATCTTTAAAAAAAACAGACTTTAACTATGTTGGCAACACAAGCCTTTTCTACATCAAAAATTTGAAATCATTGACGATTTTAGTTTGTACTGCCAACAAAAATGTCATATTGATTTTTATCTTTAAAAAAAAACTTTATGTCCGATTGACCAATTAAGTGCTATTTATAGAACAGTTTTGCGTCAATAAAGTAGCACTTTATTGTACTAGTAAAATCAGTGCGCATTGGTTGTTTAAAAGTAGTGTACACATTTTATCTCTCACTCCAAAAAGTTGAAGTTATCCCGTTTAATCAAGAGGGAAAATAGCCAAAAGTTACCTGCTTTAAAAGAGTAAGTCACCAGTAACGTATTGTGCCTTTATTCCCTGCACCAAACATTATCTTTGGCTAAATCTTTCGTAAACAAAAACGTACTAAAATATGGCTACATGCCAGTGCTGCAAAAATTCATTCACCAAAAATCAATCAACTCGGACATGTTCGATGTGCGCAGCTACGGTTCATGAAACATGTGGTCAACTCGCTGATGCCGGGGCGGGATCGCCTGCACAATTCAAATGTCTGAAATGCACTTCGAGCACGAATGCGCCAAAACCATTAACTACGGAGCATTTCCAAGCAATAATGGCCGAATTTTCCTCTCTAAAAATAACCGTAAATGCCTGCGAAGGCAAAATTACTGCTTGCGACGCTAAAATCGAAACGTTAAACCAGCATATTGCATCCCAGGCTGTATCCATTGCCAATTGTGAGACCGAAATTACCAATTTGAAAACTGAGACTTGTTCTCTTCGCAAGGAATTCGATAACTTACAATCAAAGGCGCAAAACTTTGAAGACTTCTTTGAAGAATCTCGAGATCGTACGCGTCGAGAATGCAATGTCATAGTCTCAGGCCTTAGACAAGTGGTAGATGATAAAGCCGAAGTCCAAAAGATTCTAACCGAAATTGGCCTACAGAATATATCTCCAAAACTGACGTTCCGTTTTGGTAAAGCAAACACTGGTCCCAGACCACTTAAGGTCATATTTTCATCGAGTTCTGATGCCATGGAAGTTTTGAAAGCCAAGTCTCGCCTAACGTCTCCTCAATACAAGTCTGTCACCATGAAATCGGACTTGACCCCACGTCAGGTTCAACATCTGAGTACGCTTCGAAAGGAACTGCAAAAACGTACAGATGAAGGTGAGGATAACCTGACAATCAAATATATACGAGGAGTACCTCGTATTGTGTCATTACGCAGCGATGGAAAGAGAGAACGTGAAGAGAGCGCATCCCCTGGAATCCACAAAAAACATACAGGACCAAACGGCTCTAACGCATTGTAGCAACCATTGAACATTGTTTTTTGGAACATCAAGGGGTTTAATCGCATTCATCACTTTGCAGAGGCCATTCACAACTACGACATAATCTGTTTCTCTGAAACATGGGAGAAGGACGACATTATTCTTCCCGACTATTTATCGCAATACAACGTCCTCTCATCTCATGCTTTGAGAGAAGCATCTCGCGATCGTTATAGCGGAGACTTATGTGTTATTTATAAGAATTCTTTAAGTTTGGATCTACTTAACCTTACCCCTTGGTGGATAATCTGTAGAGTTAGTTTTAATTTATGCTCGCTATACTTGTGCAGTATCTATTTTAAGCCAAATTTGGATTTCGAGTATGCATTACCTTTATTCCAGGAAACTTTATTCGAGGACGCAGCGTTTGACCCGCAAAGCCCCTGGATTATTTCAGGTGATTTTAATAGCAGAGTTGGTAATCTTGGCCTGGCGATGTCTGCCCAGAGGTCCTGGAGGGTTCGGGGCTGCGTCCCGCTAGGTCTAGTTTAGACAGGCTAATTAACGCAAGGGGTCGAAGTTTGAATGACATTATGGACTTAAACGGGTTTTTCCTACTGAACGGTCGTTGTGACGACGACTACATAGGACAATTTACTTTTATGGGAGATAATGGGGGTACAAGTACTGTGGATTTATGTTTTATTAATTTGCCTTGCCTCTCAATGCTGAATGATTTTTACGTGTGTAATAGTGAATATACATCTGATCACTTTCCAACCAGTGATGGTAACATTTTTTTCACGATTCCCCTTTTCAGACAAAAAAAAATCCCTACTTTTCCCTACCAACCAAAAAAAAAATCCCTACAATTTTCCCTACGCTTTAATTCAATTAATAGCGAATTCTATTGGAAGGGTTAGTGCGCCCTGAGTGTATTGGAGTCTTTTTCTAAACAGCTTATATAAGAAAGAGATAAAAACACATTTTTTCTGCACTAGTTTTACCAATAGAATTCGCTGTTGGTTGACTCCGTTGGCTGCATGAAATTGCAGAACAAACAAAATACCTGGCGCCATCTATTGACTACTGTACAAAAGTCAAATTTTCCTTAGTCGCCATATTGAAAAATCACGTGGTTTAGAGTAGGGCTCGGAATTGTATT